TAACTTTGCCCACGATAAACTTGGCCACACAAGCCGCACTCAGCGCCATAACATCAGCATAACGTTGCCAGTAGCGCACAAGTAGTCCAATGCCATAAATGTCAATAGACCAAAAACCATTATGCATAATATCGCAGAGGGAGGCAAGCCACATGCAACATCTTCAACTAGCTGCACCACCTGCACCACCTCTCGTCAGCGGTAGCGTCGTCTCCGTCTATGTGGCACGCTAAACAATGTTTTTCCATTACAAAACAATGGCCCCGCTGCATCGTCTCCTGCTTCTTTGGGACTAGCAACACCTTTTACTTGTGGAATTCGTTGTCAGTTTTGTCAACTTTTGCATTTTATGTTTGCGCGTTGCAGTGTTCCTCACCTGCAGTTGGTCTGCCACCCAAAAATGTCTGCAGTTGTCGCCGCAACTTTTCGTTGCCTACTTTCGGGCTGCGAAGACTTTTGCGCTCACTTTATTGTCCAACGCACAAAACTTTGGCTGTTTGTTGCCAAATTGAATGCGACTTGCTGCGCAGTGTCCTTGTAAATGAGCTCGCCGATCAGTTGTCCTTGGTGAAGTAAGCAATATTTAAGTCCAACAAATGTATATATACCCTCTTAGTTATATTAGGTATTGGGGTTTGTCAGTTTGTACAATTGCCCAGGCGATTTTCGATCGGCAAGCATATATACGCCAAAGCACAGCCAAAAACTTAAGCAAAATTGGTTCATGGAGAGTGGGTACGCCCACACAGAAGACTGATATTAAGGAAAGAAAGTTTATGTTATTCTTTTAGTCTTACTGACTTACATTATCGGCAATACTTCAGTAAATTATAGGTGTAGATTTGGTACTATCATTTATGAGAAATGACTTAGAGCACAAGCAACATTTAAATAATTGATTTCTACCATTTCACATTCCATAACTGTCTTTTTGATATTTTAATCAATCATTCAACTCCATTTGAAATTCATTAATATGAACGTTTTTTGGTGAGACGTTTGCTTGCAAATATATATATTTTCTAATAATAATCAAATTATTGAAAACATTTAAAGTATAAGCCAACGAAAGGGATTAACTGACGCTCTTTCAGAATTCCACGAAAATGTGTTTCGACAGCATCGCGTGACAACTCCAATATTATTTTGTATTGTAATGGGACGCAATCATTTCTTGCATTGCATTTTCCCTTAGGCTTGGCTACGTTGAAACACTAACAAAGAATAACGAATTTTGGCCGGTTTATTTCCTGCTTAGTGACCTGACTTGATTATATTCGAGATCAAACAGTCCGTACCATCTTCAAGGTATTGGTTATATCCGCTGTCGCGTGGACCGACAGTGTTAACATTAATCAGAAATTGTCGGAAACAATCCGAAAAATAATGTAACGCTATTCGTAGCTGTTTTGGATCGCCTCGTAGAACTCTAGGCATTCGGCAATGCAGCTCATTTCGCCCATTGTTTGCGTTCACTTATTAAAATGATAAACGCAAATAAATTTTATTTTTATGAGAGGTTAGATGTTTGAAGTGTAATTTTTACTTATTTCAAAAATAACTATTTCAATCAGAGCTCGCTGAGTTGTGTGCTGGAAAAACTAAACTCATTCGGAATCAAAGTCAACAAAGAGCACAAGAGAAGCGCCAACAATTTGGAAAGTTTTAGTTGCCTCCACTTTGATTGCCCATTACTTGGAAATCTTCCATTCATATGCATTTACCAACCCGCGCACAAATTCTAAATATCCTTAGTTAGAAAAGTGTTCTTAGCAAGTCTCCTTGCGCAACTCCATTTACTTTTTTTTCGAGTGTTAGCTAAGGATTGAGGCAATTCAACATTTTTCTTTCCACAAAGTTTCTTTGATTTGCAAAGTTTGTTAGTAAAGAAAGAGAGGCTGACTGATATGTGATAATAGAACTCTGAAAGTGAAACGCAGCTTTAAAATAATTAGCTTTGTCAAGTTTGAGCAGAAGCCGCTACATTTTAATTTTTCTACACTTATTTATAATATTTACTTAATCTGTACTAAAAACAGTAATGAAAATAAAAATATTTTTCAAAATGAATATGTAAAATGATTTAAATTTAAATTTTAAAATTAAAAAAAAAGAGAAACGAAATTAAATCAAATAATAAAAATAATTAAAATAACGCAACGTTTTAAAAAATATTTGAAAAATGTACAATGAGAACCCCTTTAAAAAAATGGGGGCAAAACCTGGTAACGTCCATGTATATGTAGATATATGTAAGCTAGTTTCAAGACTATAAGGCTAATTTGTATAGAAAAGGATTGGTAGACGGCTTCCGACTTAGATCGCAACTTGATCGACACTTTAAGTTCTTAATGGAGTCGGAGACGCTTTCTGCACTCTCGAGACTTTACCCTTAGCAGATATATATATCTATATGTATATATACAATGTGAACTCTATTTATCTCATGAATTTAAATATATATTTGTAATCAATACTGTTTAATCAAACGCAGTATTATTATCAAACCTTGTATGTATTTTCTCTTTATTTTAATTTAATTTATTTTAATTTTTTTTTTTTTCTGTGTCGACTGATGTGACTGACTATTAAATAAATAAATACTTTATATATCATCATTGTCTGCAGTTGCGTCCCCTTTAACCCAAGTAAAATAATTAATCACTATACGCTTTAAAACGTTAATCACTGAAGGAAGTGCGCAGCTTTTCAGCTCCAAAACGCTTTTAATTCAATTAAACTGCGCTTTTGTCTGGCTCTCTGGCAATAGGCAATTACCAGTAATCGAATTTAGCCACGACGAATCCGTTTGGAACAATAAATTGTTCACTTGCAACCCCGAGCGGGAAAGCAAATAGGGGAAGTTGGGAAGTCGGCGATGGCCGTACCCACAAAATACTATTGTAGTCTAGTCAATTTCAGCAACTACCCAAAAATGCAAATGCAAATTGGTCGTGCTGTTGTGCTTGTGCTCTCCTAATCCTCATTCTCTAACTCCTCCTTTTCGTGGCTGGTACATTAAACTTAGCCCCGGCTTAAGCTCTTAAGCTTAACTTTCACTTAACCGCAGGAAAGCGTTAAAAGCATTCCATGTTAATGTCTAATTAAATGCAGCGTGTGCCTGCCCAGACAAGGCAGCAAGCTTTATTTGTTGAAGCTCAAAATAAAATTGCGAGACGGCTTCATTTGCATTTTAGATCTGGACATGCGCTGAGCTGAACTTCCTGAAATGACAATCGGATGTATTTCATTCAAGTGCGTCAAGTGGACGACTCGCTTCCTGCTGCTGCTCCTGTTCCTGCTCCTGCTCCTGCTGCTGCTCATTCTTCCTCTGTCCAGCTTCTGCAGCTGGCATTCGCTTTCGATTCTCTTATACATTTTTCAACATTTCGGGAAATACAATTCGTATGCGTTTCTCAGCTGTTGTGAGCGTTAAATAAAATATCAGTTGTCATTAAAGGTGCTCCTTGCTCGCTTCCGAGAAACCAAAAGAGTTGCCTTCATTTGTCACTCGACTTGGTTTGACAATTAAAAATTGCAATCAACTGGGAAGAAGACAGCTGGCAGGAACGTCAAGTAGAACATCATATTAAGTTGCTGTATTTTGTGCAACTTTTTGTCTGCCTTGGCCACTGCACTCGATTTCTCAAGCAAATTAGCCACTGCAAAGTTGACAAGCAGAAAGTTTGCACTTGGCATTCATTTTGTGTGCGTCCAATTTATGCGAAAGACTGAATGATGTCTTAAAGAACTGCGTACATGTGGCATTCACTGCTAACAATCAGAGCCTCATAACCAGACTTTTTAAGCTTTCATTTGACATTGGTTCCTTTTCGCTTCTGCCAGCCATAAATCTCTAACAAGTCGTCTTCAAAACTATTTGTTACGGTTTTTGCTGATGTCAGAGGAACTTAAATAGCACTTTTCTGGCAGATTTACATACATGTATATTTACCCCTACTCCACCACAAGAATTGCGCTTTAATTTGCTTGCCATTGTTACATAGACACGCACACGCACACACACACACACACACACATATACACCCACTCAGCTCACAGGGATCTGTTAACAGGGCGTAACGCGTTAATATATATGATTTGTATTTGTATATTTCAATAGGCAATGTCGCTTTTGTGGCTGTGCCTATGTGCGTATGTGCTGGCCCCATCCACTGATATGTGATGGGTTTATTATTGGGCAAATAAATTAAAATTGTTTACCTTTCAGCGATTCCATCTACTCATTGCGAACAACAGAGACAGCATGACTTTCCCTGCGTGTGTGTAGCCCGATTCAATTGCGGTTTCGTGAGTGCGCGTATGTTGTGGCAACTTTATGTGTGCAAATTAATGGATAAATGGTTGCATCCACACACACACAGCACACAGCACACATCACATGTGTATGCTCATATGATCATATATACATATATATATATATATATATGTATAACATTTGTAGAAATAACAACAAGATAGAACATTCAATAAAATGAGTTGCGCAATATGATGGCAAGCATGAAAGTAAACAAAAGTGTGCGAAATATATTTTGCATACAACAGCAGGCGTTGGAGTGAAAATGTTTTCCTTCAATGTTATGAGTGCTCGCCAGGAAATAAGAATGGGAGATGAACTGGCGTAGATATGTATTTCTAAAAATAACAAGCTATAAAAATAATATAATAAAAATAATAAGCATAAATATTATACTGTTACTCTTACTACGCAATATGGAAATATTTTAACAATCAATGGTACTGACTATAAAATACTCATTTAAAATCACTGAAGTGGCACAAAAGTACAAAAAATGGTCGTTCTTTAAATACAAACACAGATTTTTCTTTAACTCATAAACGTGTTTTGGTTAACTTGACAAAATGACAATAGCCAAAACAATTTATTTCTATGTCAATCGGTGTCAATAGACAGAATTAAGATTTATATACATTGAGATTTGTGTTCACTTAGCAGGCACTTCACGTGAAAGTAACTAGTTGAAATCGAGGAAACATTTTAAAGCATTAAATTCCATCTAGAGAAAAAGTTGGAAATATGGCTGACGACGAGTCGGATTCTTATCAGCCAGAGGTTGAAGAGGTTCGAAGACGGTTGCGTATTAATGCTGTGGGACAGCAATTTAATAAAAATCATCTCAGACATACACAGATATCGAGACTGAAAAGGCGATGCTGTTCATAAAAGACAATGATCTGCCCATGTCAGAACTGCTATGTGCCCTCAAATATGTTCGCATTGCAAGTCGCGATATCTCAATGGATGAAAAGTGCACCGAAATCGAACAGCGTTTAAAAATTTTGCGTTCTGAGGACATTGTTGTTGTGACGCCCCCATTGCCTGATGAGACTTAAATGAAATGTATGAAATGTATTCTGCTGCAATTAACAGATAAGATTAAGCTAAATAAAAACACCATATACCTAGATGTACATGTATACAAAAATTCGCCAGCAAAGGTATTTTCATATTATTTTTACAGATCTCTGATTACGTCAAATTGTTTGCTGGAGTTTTACAGTGCTTTTTAAAATATTTCTACATCCATATCCGCCCTTAACCGTTTTTGTTACTGGAATTTAAGAGCATGGCACGAGTCAAATAGATAAAATTAGACGCAAGATAAAAAAAAGCACAACAAAGATAAGAGCTGGGGGAATGAAATTGGTATAGATTGTATGGGTAGTTGAGAGGGGCAAAGTAGAATTGCATGCAAAGCCAAGAGACAAAACAGCAGAAGAGCAAACAAAATTATGTTTAAGGTTATATGCTATGCATAAGTAACTAAGCAGACAGCGCTGACGGATCAGACGGACACGCAGCCAGCCAGGCGAGCGGAAACGGAAGCTCGAGTAGCAAAAGAAAGTGTCTGACTGGCTGTGTGCATGTATGCTATACGAAATATGTGTGCCAGTGTGTGTACACATGTAGATATGGTGTGTGTGTGTGTGAGTGTGTGTGTGTGTATGTGTGTGACTTATATACAAGAGCCGCTGGCACTTCCGACAATTGGCAAAACATAACAGAAAGGCAGCCAACCAATCCAGCCAGGAGCGGATTTGAAATGTACAGAAAATGTTTATATTAATTTCAATTATTTTCTCTTCATTTAAACCTAAGCCTATTCAAAAACTTGTATTCAAAGCTTCATCGTTTTAACTCTTATAGTCCGCAAGACTTACGAGATCAGACAGATTTGCAAACTGACGGACAGGTTGCTGATACTGATAGGGAGCTTAGGGGGTCGAATATATATTTCTCAATGCTGTCAACATATCTCTTTACCTGTAAAATACATTCTCACAACATCCTTATACTCCTTACTCAATTCTAATTGGTGTATAATCAATATAATTTACTGTCCTGCTTTATCCAAACCAAATGATTTCATTCACATAATTTTCTGAAAGTTATACACAAATACTTAGAAGTTTTCATTTGATTATATAAAGCCCTTATTTATTGCTCCGTGCATTCATTAATTTGGTCTGTATGTATGTATGGGCACTGAGGCAATGAATGAGTCCGCTCCTGTCCTTTGCATTGCAGGATAGCAGACGTACGACTGAACAGACAAGGCAGGAAGGGAGGAATAGGGCCAGCCACAGGCTACGATGCTCTGCACACGCGCCGAGTGAGATAAAACATTTGTATGCGGTGATAAGAACGCATCCACTTACTTTTGGTCGCGCATGACTTGAATTTTTGTGCATTACACACCCAAACACAACCCTTTATGGTTTTGTAACGATCGTTGCCAGTTAGTAGTAGCCGTTTCAACTAAAAATATTAATAATAATAATAAAAATCATAGACTTTATGCTTGAATTTAAATGCCACGGCCTTAATCTAAATTTTGGATTTTGAAAAATCTTTAATTGGTGAATTATTATTAATCAGTGAGCAGTCCGAGTGAGTTGCCAATCGCAACAAATGTTTTGGGAATTGCATTGTAAAATTTTTCAGAAATTTTGTTATTTCAACAGATTTTAGATGCCCCAAAATTCAGAACTTTTCAGTATTAGCCTGGCAAAGACATGGTGAGGAATTGTACACTAAGAACCATCCGATAAACTAAATGTAGCTGCATTCTCAAGAGTAGTATGTATATGGGATATGATTCTAAGACATGAAATGGTTTATTATTTTTGATTTTTCATTGATTCATTATTTTGGTTGATTAAACACTTTTAACAAGGAGGAAATTTGAGACAGTTATGATTGAAAAGTGTAAACTTATGATTGACCCTTTTTTTCAATGAGATGGGGGATCAGTCAACAGCACATATGTGTGTACATGAATATGATTTTAAAGAGGAGACTGTGTTTTAGGCATGTAACCTGTAAGATATGTGTTTGAATCAAGTGGATGATCAGTTAGCAACTACCGCACTTGTGAGTTGATTTTTGAGGGTGGGTTCAACGATCAGTGGGAAAGTAATTCTCGGTTTTAAAATATTGGAATGCTCTAAATTTGTAATATATGAAAGTTGAAATTTGGTTGTTTTAATCTATATTAATTTTTTGGAACTATTTCATAATTCATACAATAAATGACGCCTTAAAAATAATGCAGAAATATTTGCTTATTTTCTGACTTTGATTTCAGTTCCAAAGTCTAATTTTAAATGTATCATTTTATAATGCGGCATCATGGAAAATGGAGTCACTTTTTTTAATGGAAATAAAAAAAATTGAGTTTTTCATACCAAATTTCCAGTTTAGTTACACAACACATGAGCGGAAATAAGAAAATGGAAAGATTCCTATCTACAAAGTTGGAGAGAGATTGATGTGTGCAACAGCAGCATCAACTAGGTCCTAGCAGCCACTTCCCCTCCACTTGTTCCAATTCTGACTCACACACACACACACACATGTGAATCTTGTGGAGAACAAGCGCCGAAAAAATATCGAACCGCCCGCAGCACTCGAATGCGATTCGTTCTGTCTGAACCAGCCACTCCCCCACCCACTCCCCGCCTTTCTCTGTCTATGAGTGAGTGCACCCCTTATGCGAAAATAGGATTTGCTTGCAAATTTTTGCTACCGGGTTAGGGCTGAGGGAGTGCGGTGACCATGTGCGGGTTACGGATGCCCTGCACTCGTTTTGTTTGTTTGACACTTGCGTGGTTAGTGATTGTCCATATTATGTGACACACTGTGTGACAGACGAGCAGATAGAGCAACTCTGGCAGACTATCAGACAGGCAGACCGAAAAGCATAGCGCAAATGTCACACTTACTGCCAAAGAGAGACGGAGAGACAGAGAGAGAGAGAGACCGAGAGAGAAAGACAGAGACGGGTAAAAAAGAGGCTCAATTTTGTGCTGCATCAGCGCTGAGTTGGCAACTCCTTCCAGCTGCCGACTTAAAGTTCAGTTCAAGTTGTCAAATGTTTGGTGTGACTGCCTTCAGGCACAGTTCGTACCATCAATAAATGAATTTGACAACCTTCAGGGAGTTGGAAGTGAATTGAATAGGCGCATTGGTTGAGACGCCATAAGTGTATTTGCAAATATTATATTTGTTATTAAGGACGTGCCTCACAAATGTGAAATTACAATTGAGGACCGCGTTATGAAAATTAAGTAAAACATATTTTGAATGCATGTGATCCTGATTTGATATTCTCAGAGACTGTTGTAATTTTACTATCGGAATTCGTATTTCATATGTTTTTATTATGTTTTTATTTTATTGTCTACCCAACTAGCTGACGTGAATTGTCGAAAATATGGAATTCTAATTTAAACTCGATAACCCCATCCGCCCGCTTTTAAGTTGCGATGTTCTGTTTGAGTTTTAATAGCCTAAATCGATCCCTTTTCATCCATCTGTCCGTCTGAAATTTGGAATAAAAGCTCTCGAATACCAAGTGCACAAGTTTATTTGAATTTATAGAATTGTCATTTAATTTGGCTATGAAAATAATCATCTCTAAAAATTTACTCAATATCAGTTTAAAAAAATACTATATTAAATAAAACTAACCTAATAAAACTGCAGCAAACGAATATATTTTTTCAATTAAAGTACACAAAAATAATTATTTCAATATATACGAAGTGAATAATTTATAATACGTAAAAGCTTTGTCCCAGATCGGGATATCCCAACACAAGTTTTACTCTTCTAAAGGGTATTAAAATTTGGTCATGGAGTTTGAAAGGCATTAACATGTCTTCTACCTGCTCAAACCTTCAAATTACAGATATTCTTGATTAACATCACCATATCCGTTTCTCTCTGGAATACATTCGTCTTTTTTCTGTAAGCAGTTCATTTTTTAGTCTCATTATATGATGTGTTGTTAAATGAAATTCTCTAACTATGGGTGTTATTCTGCTTCTATCAAAAATTGCAGAGTTTGTTATATCTGGCATGTTTAAGATAACTTAATTTTTGTATGGAATTACTTGAGCTCACGGCCTGTCTATCTCAATAGCGTCGCATTTTGTTATACCTTCCAACTGCTTAGAAAGTCCATTAACAAGTTCTTTGCATATGCTGGAGGGTAGAAAATCAGTCTCCCTTGAGCTTGAAAAGTGAGTAGTATATAAAGCAAGAAGGAGTTAAGAACAATGTGCATAAATTGTAATACCAAATCCATGAACAGATCGAACTAAGCCAACTAGCGGCTGGGTGCTTCGGGTGACCCGTGCCACAGCAGTCAATGGAAATTGTGGAGATTTATGGTGCCTGGTAAAAAGGGCAGCGCCATATTTATTTGAAAATAAGTTAGCTCATAGGCAAGTGGGCTATGCTGGGCTGCGCTGGGCTGGCTGGTAAACAGCTTACAAATAACAGGCTGGCCAAAAACTCCCAAAAAGGATATTACATATCCTGTTCGCAGTCGTGCAAATGCCATTATAGATTGAATATTTGCAGGCTCGTACCCCCTCCTATCCTCCCCACCCCGTTTGATTTACGTTGTTTCACAACTTCCGCCACTTTGCTGCACACTTCTTTGCTGGGCTTCTTCTTTGTTTTGTATTATTTTGTGGCGTGGTTTTCAAGTCCAAAACGCGCCACCGTTGACCTTGCTCCTGGCTTTAACTTTGACTCTGAGTTATGTGCTGTGCTGCCGAATATGGGAGGCTATTAGAGGCTTACTGTCCATATACCGCGACAAACTCTTCCTCCCCACCGAGCTAGTGGTACGTGCAAGCTGCGCTTTTTCACACACACTCAACATCGTTATTGAGTTGGGCTCGTGATTATTGCCATTATGGCATGAGACTGAAAGCCGCTCAAATCGTAGCTGCTCCCCATAACTCTGAACTCTCTATTCCTGAATGGCTCCGCTTTACCCCAAACTGCTGCGTTTCGTCTCAAGTGACTATTCACAGCCCGAAGATTTATTGAATGTGCGCGATGGTCTCCGCTTCTTCTGCTGCCTGCTGCCTTCTGCCTGCTGTCGACTGTCGACTGTCTGTG